AAAAAAAAAAAAAAAAAAAAACAGATGAACACTTGGGAACCTTCCAAACTGGTCGTACACATACATCGAATAAGGGATAAGTATTAACTGGAGACGTGTGGCTCATCGAAGACCTAATCTAATTGCACTTGGTGTGTAGGAGCATCTCAGTAAAATCACTAACATATTGGCTGCCACATGAATTTTTCGAGCTGTCCTGGTATAGTAGGCATTTAAAATAGAAAAACAATATCGCATATTAGTCACAATTGATTTCCTTTTTTTTTTTTCTATGCTCAGCTGCGGATCTGACGTATTATTCGGCATCTGATTCGCACGCTTTCAGTTTGCCTTCAGCCAAATATGTCCTTTCTTTTGCGTTTTTAATACCAAAGCTTACGGCGTACCAATGGGTGGAAATGCAAGTCCCGACATCGCTGATTTGACATTTTCCATCATGGAATATCGTTCTAATCCAGGGCCAAACTTCATGCCATTAGCTTTTTTCGATCATACTGATATCGTGTTCATATTATTAGTGAGAACTGGATGGAAATTTCAGTGAAATCTTGGCACCGGCGACTTGTATTGTAGTTAGCGTGACAGCATCTACAACCCAAGGGAAAGCGTTGGAGCCGGACGAGTTGGCAGCAGTCCAAGAAGCATGCGATATGGCCGAGAAGCTGCACACCGATCGCCTGAACATGTATCAGCTAGTTGAGTCACGAATGTCACTGATTGCACCAAATCTTTGCGAAATTTTGGGAGCGGGAACAGCAGCTATGATTGTTGCCAAAGCCGGAGGTATATTTTCTTTTTTTTTTTTTTAAGTTACAATTTAGTCAGTGTAAAGTCGCATCGGATTCTGGTTACTGAGACCCTATAAAAATTGTGTGATGTCAAACCGTGCTGTTTTTTTTAATATTCCTAGGTGTTTCTTTAAATCAGCAACGTGTTTCAGGACTTGCCCCTTTGGCGCGCCTTCCTGCTTGCAATGTTTTAATACTTGGCGCACAGAAGAAAACTTTGAGCGGATTCAGTTCAACGGCAGTATTACCGCACGCTGGTTTTCTCTTCTTTCATCCTATTGTGCAAGGAGTACCACCGGATTTCAGGTATGAACACTGAGAAATATAGATGAGTTTTGATTTGTGGAAGTCTCCTTTTTTTTGGAAGTGAAGGGAGGAATGGGGGGGGAGGGGGAGGGGGAGGAATGGGGAAGGAAACCACACCGTCTATGATTGTTTGTAGAAAAGTTTTTATTCCTTGATTTATTATGGGACCGTTTTGATTTTTTTGAAATAGGCTGGTTGCGCTAATTCGCTTTTCTATAAATATGATTCGAGCCCGTTGGTGGTACTTTCTTTTGTTTCCGAACCTTCTGTTATAGCTTTCCAAATAAATTTGGCTGTTCTGTTATTTAGAGGAGTGTTAGTGTTTGGAAAACTTTCCAGAACTATAAAATCGAAATTTTTCCCGATTTGCTTCAAAAAATTTCTCATTTTGATAAGCATTGGCTTATTTTTCCAAAGTTCTTGATTACTTTACTTCGCCAAACGTCGTGTTATCCAGGCTTTTTTCGGCATTCCGTTCACGTCTAGTGCGATCTTTCAGATTGCCTTCTGGGACTGTCCACACATTCTTCCATGTTGAGTATGAGAATTGCCAAAAATTATCGTTGAGGGCTTATTAAGGATAATTGCTGTGGTTGCAGAGATGTTTGGCAAAAATGCTACATTGGATGAAGAATTTGATCATTCATAACGTTTTATTTAAGACAAAAAGCAGCTCGATTACTGGCGGCGAAAACAACACTGGCTGCTCGTGTCGATTTCATACACGAATCTTCGGATGGTGCAATTGGAAAAAATTTATTCGAACAGATCAAGCAAAAAATAGAAAAAATGTTGGAGCCTCCACCAGTCAAAGCTGCCAAACCCCTGCCAAAACCCCTGGATAAGGTACTGGTTCCGCTTTTTTTTTTTTTTTTTTTTTGAATTTTTAGGTGGGTTTTATCAGTTTGGGCAAGAAAACGACTTAGTTTAATTTGCTTTATTAAAAATGTTGCGTGGCGTTAATGCGTATAGTTTAATCACGAACGAGTTCTTAGTTTTCGACGAAATAGTTATATTTTAGCTATCTTAATTTTCACCGGAACCTAGCTGTGGTAACGACTAAGGGAAGGAACGTTTCTGACGACTTTTCGTTTGAAATAGTGGCATTTTTTAGTTTTTTTTTTGGACACATTTCAGCGTTTTCGAATCTGTTTTTCAATTATTAACATTATTTGGTACTTCACTGCCATTTTGATTAAATTTGTTTAATTTTTGATTTTTTCTAACTGGATTTCCCTTTAACCAGACAACTTCGCTCTCACCCTCGTGTCTGAATTTCGGGACTCTTGATAGAAGCTTTCCCTTTTATTTTAAACTGCCAGGTGTTTTTAGCAACTTAAAGCGGATGATAGAATGTACCATATCCCAACTTGCTCTTTTCCTCGCTCCCTCCATCTTGATATGCAACTGTTGCGAGGTCTTCATCAAGATTATTGCTGACGCACGATTTCTTTGATAAAAATCAGTCAGGAAATAGAGGAATGACAGCCTACGGCAAATGAGTGAAGAAAGGCAAAAAAAAAATCAATCAGCGGCAGCTATTTGTGTGAATTTATACATGTTAGTTGATAAGGATGTGAATTTTAGGCCAGCAAGAAACGAGGAGGACGGCGGGTACGAAAAATGAAAGAACGATTGGGCATGACTGAACTGCGGCGAAAATCGAATCGAATGAATTTCGGTGAACTAAGCGAAGATGTGATACAGGAAAACATGGGATTCTCACTTGGTCAAGCACTCAGCGGCCCGTCTTCGGGAGGCCGCATTAGGAACGCAACGGTCGACCCAAAAACAAGAGCCAGGTATGTCTTAATGGGTTTCCCACTGTAATCGATCTTATTCCTGCCATGAACTAATCTTCCTTTTCACGGAGTTGCCAAGTGGATCAAATATTGCTGTTAATTTTCCCATTTAAAATCCGGAATTACGCGGTCTGATTTTTTAGAATGCTTGGTTTTCGATCGATCTGTTTAGCTGGATCTAGGGATTTTCCTTAATACTGGCCACTAACTTAACAGTTTCCTACTGGGATCAGGATCTATTACACGCGTCACATCCAATATTTCAGGATGTCGCAAAAACTTCAAAAAACAATGGAACGCCAGAGAGCAATGGGTGGTGTGACTTCGGTTCGATCACGTGCAGCCGGCACAGCTTCCAGTGTTACCTTCACTCCTGTACAGGGCCTGGAAATAGTGAATCCGATGGTGAAGCCCGAGCGTGTCGGATCCTCTTCAACAACATATTTTTCATCATCCGCTGCTTTTGTCAAAGTTCGAACTCCAGTGCAACGAGCTTAATGCAAGTATTGCTGTAAAAAAATAACTTTAGCTAAACTATTAGTTTGTTTGTTTGATCCGTTAGTTGAAGGAGCACTGTGCGGAATTTCCACAGGGAGGAGTAGTTTGTGGAGGTGCAACAACAACAGTTCTGGCTGAATTGCAATGGATAACGGGATGATCACGTGAAAACCAATGTGATGAGGACATGGTGACGAAAAAATTAATAGCTAGAAGGACGCGCAGAAGAGGTACGCACAGAGTTATATTGACCACGAGCTACACATGGTCCGTTGTGATGCCCCGAGGCCTAAAAAAATATCTATACGCTTTCAGCACTTTGGCATCCAAGGTCAACCTGAATGCTACAATCGGCATATCACTGATTGCGCTGTCCCTCTTAAATTCAAGAAATAGCTTTTAAGTTGCTTTGTGAAAAAGCGGATTTGAATTCTTACCCCTAAATTCAGTCTGTGGTTAAAGGCCCCCGAAAGCATTTCTTAGAGCATTTTTCATCAGCAATTACTTTGGCCTTGCTAGACAGC